TCCAAGTCACCCAGACTGAGCACCTCAGCTACCACCCAGATCCACATCATAGGCCTTAAGTTGGTCCACCCTAACATCTACCCCATCTATGACCTGCTGCAGCATGTGAAGGAACTGGTCCTATGGAAGGATAACTGCAGGATCTCCATGACTCAGGGTAACAGCAAGATATGCCAGAGAAGTTTTGGTGAGGGTCCAGTGATGATGGTGTGCCAGAGGTCTTGAACTACACCAATGAATCATTGCAATTAACATTTGCATGTGGGACTTATTGGACAAAAGGGTATATTGTGTGTCACACTGATGTTCCCAATGCCACTAGGACAAATGAAGAGGTCTTGGAGACACAGGAAAGACAGAAGAACAAGGTGATTTTTTTTGTTTTGTTTTTAATTCTTTTTTGGGGTGAGTTCTTTAGGGGGGACACTGCAGGGGTGAGGGTTAGATATAGAGAGACTGGAAGGTGAGTGGGATTAGGGTGCATGATGTGAAATTTCAAAAGTATCAATAAAAAATTATATTATAAAATTGCTTAGAAAATAAAACTACATGCCTGGGAGTGGGTAGGGGTGGAGTTATGTAGATACAGTGCTTGGATATAAATTCCTCATTTTATATATAAAAACACATTTAAATCATCAATCCTACACAACTGTGAACTCAACAGGCTATAACAACAATGACCACCCTGGCAAGATATGACCACTGTTGCAATGATTGAAGGAATGTATTTGGAGTAACCAACCATTTTCTGATTGTATTTAATGCCTACTCCCATGCATGGGTGTGTGGCAGTCCAATGGACATGAGGAGGAGCCTACCAGTTGTCCTCATCTTCATAGAAGAATGGTTCTCCTACACCTGGCAACTATCAAGTGCCAAGAAACACCTTAGTTAGAGACAGGACCCTGATAACTCATTCCCCTTCTAGGCTTGAATTTGGGGTGACTTGATACTTTGCGATTTTTTTTTACAAGTAACTATAGTTTCTCCAAGTTCATGAGAGCATTTCACAGCCCTCTCCCTATACACTGGCTCTTGCATTCTTTTATTCTCCTAATCCACAATGTTCCCTGAGTCATGGTGTTGGGGTTAATGAAAAAGTTCCATTTAAAGCTGAGCATTCATAGTCACCTATTCTCAGCCCTTTGGCCACTTATCAGTCTCTTCATTAACTTCTCTCCACTACATAAAGAAACTTCTCTGATCAAAGCTGAAGACAAGCCAAGTCATGGTTATACACAAAAATATTTAGAAGGCAATTTCACAATATAATTAATTTTCAAAATAGTAATACTAGATTCTACACCAGGGCCTCTCACCTCTGCAGACATGGACTTTAGGGAATGTTTAGTGTATCATGTCTGCCTGAATTCTGACCTGTGGATCAGGACTCAAATACAAACAGAATGGTTGCTCACCCAGTAACAGTCATATCGCTAGTAGACCATATGTATCTATATCTATATCTATATCTATATCTATATCTATATCTATATCTATATCTATATCTATATCTATATCTATATCTATATCTATATCTATATCTATATCTATATCTATATCTATATATTGCCTACCATGCCAGTATTATAGCATCCAGATTCTAGCACTGGATAAGACCACTTACATCTTTTCTGAACCCAGAAAGATTCTTAGTATCTTCAATTACTATCTAGTCAGTATTGAAGAAGTTTCCTGATCTGTTTGAGATTTATTTCTCTATATCCTTCAGTAAAAGTGCATATCTTCAGCAATATTATTTTATCATGTAGTTATGATGAAATAGAAGTTGTATGCATTAATTTGGAGATCTCTGGGCCCTCACGGAGCAGTATTTTGGGAAGGTATTCTATGCCCGACACTGTGATTTTAATGACATATGTCTTCTTGGAGAGCTACTATTCACCCATGCAGGGTAGCTCCATTAGTATTTCTTGTATAAACTCGTGTTTTAAAATGAGCTTACTAAATTGTGGGGTTTTGTAAGACTTTTGGATGCATTATTACTTTTGGTTAACTTAAGCGCTCTATAACCCCATTCTCTATACCCATCGCTGCTTAAGTGTAATCCCCACAATCCTCCCTTCCTTTATATCAGATGTGTTCTACTAGCATGCTCAATTACATTTTCAAAATTGTTTTTCAAAGTAATAGGTTTCCACGTGTCTTTGTCATAGACCCTTTCTTTAGGTTGACCTCCCCTTGACTTCCTCATCTCCCTGCTCTTATTTGCCCCTCCCTGTTTAAACCTTTCCATCATCAGTATTCCACCTCTCTATGTTCATTTTATCTATAATCTCTCTACTCTCTCTTAATACATCCCCACAATGACATTTTTCAGGACACATGGATTCTACATGAGTTGTGCACCAAGTTAAATGCATAAAGCAAAAGATTTGTAGTTTAGATAGCCATGTGGGAGAGAACATTCTGTGTTTGTTTTCTGGGCCTGAGTTACTTCAGTATAAATTTTATATACCATTTACCTGCAAATTTCACTTTTCTTTCCAGCTGAGTAATATCTTATTGTGTACACATAACATATATTCCATAGCCATTTGTATGTTGACAGATATCAAGGATGATTCCACTTATTAGCTGTTGTGAATAGAATGGCAATGAACATGGGTTGCAAACCTTTCAGAATAGCTGTGCCATATGGTATTTCTATTTATATATTTTTGATAAATCTCCAGACTGATTTCCAAGTTGTGCACTAGTTTACATTCCCATCAACAGTGTAGAAGAGATCTCATTGGTTGTGCTTTGTATTCCTGATGATGACCATTCTGACTGGGGTGAGATGGGATCTTAAAGTAGTTTTCATTTTCATTTCCTAAATAGTTAAGGATGTTGAACACTTTTTATGTGTTTCTTAGTCATTTGTATTTTTTCATTTGTAAAACTTTCTTTGAGAATTTCTTATAACATAGTTTGATCATACTCAACCCAAATCTGCTCAGATCTGTCTCCTCCTCTCTTTCCTATTCACCCAACTTAGTGTGCTTTTCATTAACCCTTCAGGATCCATTTGTGCTTCTCAAATATTTTTAGAAGTGTGGTCTTTCACTGCAGTGTGGTTGACTTTTCAGAGTCTACACTCTTAAAGAAAAGTCTTCCCCCTCCACCCCGCCACACCAGCAGCTAACAACTACGAACTACTTCATGGGGGCAATTTGGTGCTAAAATACCCTCCCCATACTGAGACTTCATCTTTTGGGGATTTGCATAGGTCTAGGATGAGTTCATACATGCAACTTCCCTTGTATTCAGAGTATAATGTTTTCTTGTAGTCATCTACCACAATTGGCTCTTTAATCTTTCTTCCCACTCTCCACAATTATCAGTGAACCCTAGGAGAGATTAGATGATATGAATGTTGCCTTTAGGGATGATCATTCTGCAGCCTCTTATTCTCTGGACCTTGGCCAATTGTAGGTCTCTCTGTTAATCATCATCTACAAATAGATGAAGGTTGAGAGAAAAATCTATCCACAGTCCCTCCCTTCTAACAAACTCCCAGATCCACACCATCAAAGCTCCCTTGCGGCTTCATGAACTATTTTAACTACTGAATTCAATTAGTGCTTCTGGTATGTGCATGGACATAGGGAAATCCACTGGTACATTGTCTTTACATCCAAATATAATGCCATTGTGTATGTGTGCTATCATTGATGGATCTAGGCGGCTCCCATTTCCCAGCTATTGTGAAGATAGCATCAATGAACATGAAAGAGCAAGGACCTCTGTAGAATGAAATACATCCTTTCAATATAAGCCCAGGAGTAGCATGAACGTGTCATATGGAAGTTCTGTTTCTAGCTTTGTGAGAAACTTTCAGACTACTTTTCAAAGTGGCTACAAAAGTTAAGCTCTCACTAACAGTATGTAAGTATTCTCCTTCCCCCATACCAATGCCAGTGTTTGTTGTCATTTGTATTCTTTTTTTTTTTTTCGTTTTTCGAGACAGGGTTTCTCTGTGTAGCTTTGCGTCTTTCCTGGGACTCGCTTGGTAGCCCAGGCTAGCCTCGAACTCACAGAGATCCACCTGGCTCTGCCTCCCGAGTGCTGGGATTAAAGGCGTGCGCCACCACCGCCCGGTCATCATTTGTATTCTTGATAGTGGTCATTTGACTTGGGTATTAAGAGACACAAGTTCCATAAAATTATGCATATATATGGAGTACTATAGGACATTTTGGCACATATATACATTACATAATGTTCATATCAGGCACATATACCAAGCATATAGACCCTTTGAAATTATTAATGTAGCTCAAGATGTGCTTGGGGAAAAAATAGGAAAGCACAGTTTTGTTACTTCTGTTTGCTTTTATTATTCACAGTTTAGAAGCATAAATGTTCAATTAAATTCTCATCAGAGCAAAGGAAGAAGAAAGGAGAGAAGGAGAAGGAGGAAGAAGAGGAGGAAGAATGAAGGAGTAAGACAGAAAGAAAAGAGAAAAAGGGGCACCACAAAGACATCTGTCAGGACATCCACAGAAGTTGCTCCTCAGAAAGAGAGTAAGAGTTAAATGTGATTAAGTTTTACCAAATGGGAATGAGATGAAACTGTCACTATCAACACTAATTTTACTAAGATTAGTTGCTTTAAAATTTATGCAAAGGTCAAGAATCTTTTGCTGCAAATACCTGAGAAATTCATGTGTATTTTTTCTGGTCTTGGTCTAATATGTACTTAAAAGGTCAAGGGTCATATCTAGGGGGTGATACATTTGGAAACTTTAGCTAAGCAGATACTTTAGAAAATAAAGGTTAGCTTTTAAAAACTATAAAAAAGTAACTTTAAACATTATAAATCACATCCTATAAATATTTCATAAAGAGTAGAGTCAACAAGTCAAATTCTAAATCTCTAATCAAAAGATATATTTTTTTAGTGTTTTGCTTTACAGAGAGTATTTCATTTATAGCAGAAATCATCTGATTTTGATTAGAAATGAATGTTAGAAGGGAGCTATTGAAAATATTTAGAATGTAGACTGTGCTGGCAAAATTCGTCCTCCCAGGGCTCTCAAAGCCCCAGTCACCTCCTTATTTCTTAGGCTATAGATGAGGGGGTTCAGGGCTGGGGTAACAATTGTATAGAAAACAGAGAAGATATTGTCTTGTTTGGGGGTGTGGAAGGAACTGGGCAGGACATACATGAAGGAAGCACCCCCATACCACATCCCAACCACAGTCAAGTGTGAAGAACAGGTGACAAGGGCTTTCTTCCTGCCCTCACGTGAGGGCATGTGGAGTACAGTGAAAAGAATTAGTGTATAAGAGGCAAGAATGGCAGCAAGAGGAAGAAGTAGGAAGGTCACACCCATCACATAAACCATGAGCTCATATTTGGAGGTGTCTGCACAGGCAAGCTTCAGTAAGGGAGGGATCTCACAGAACAGGTGTCTGATCTCCCTAGATTTGCAGAAAGGATATTGCATGGTATAGACTGTATATCCTACTGCACTCAGAGATGCTAGGGTCCATGCTATGGCTACCCCGAGCCAGCAGATCCTAGGCCTCATGAAGATCATATAGTTCAGAGGATGACAAATGGCCACATACCTGTCATAGGCCATAAAGGCCAAAAGAAGGTCCTCTGCACCACCCAGTGTCAGTTCCAGGAACATCTGAAGGGCACAGCCCCCAAAGGAGATGGTGTTGTCTTTAAGCAGAAAATCTACAACAGCCTTGGGAGTGATAACTGATGTGAGGAGGAGGTCCATGAGAGAGAGCTGCCAGAGCAGAAGGTACATGGGAACCTGGAGTCGGGCATCTATGGTGATGACCAGGAGCAGCAGTCCATTGCTGATCATAGCCAACATGTAAAGGGCTATGAATATGGCACAGAGCAGTTCAGGAGAGCCACTGTCATCCAGAATCCCCACCAAGATAAAATCACTTACCATGGTGGAGTTCCAGAGCTCCATTCTGTGAAGTTTCCTTATATTCCTAGGAACAGATCGCTCACTGAAATTTTGCTAATATGAACCACAGTTTTGTAACATAAGATACCCACCATGACTCCAATAATATGCTACTCTTTCCCACAGGTAAATATGTTTACTTCTCAATTTCCAAACATCTCGGTCTCAATTCTATCTTGATAGTAGACCCATCTAATGTGAATATATGATAATAATAGCATTAATACACCACCTTGTGGAAATACTACCCATGACATTCTACCTGAAGAACAATCCTTTAAGAAAAATTAATTACTTCTCTGTTAAGAGTAAAGAAATACTCTGTCATGCAAGCATTTTAGTATAACTATTTGGCTTAGATATCCCAGTAAGTTTCCTGCTTAGACATTATTCAAGTGTGAATTTCCAATTGGTACAAAGATGTGATTTCAATAAATTACTTCTGGTGCTTTTGTTTTATCCATATTTCTTTGTTGTCATTTCTTTGTACATTTTTGACAAGATCTTTCTATGTAGGATAGCCTCAATCTATGAACCTCTTGAGTCAACTTCTCAAATGATGGAATTTTAGACATACACAAAATCATCTGGTTTAATTTCTGCATTTCATAAGTCCATATTCATTTGAAGCAAATCCCATTGATATAGCACAAATTTTTTCATATTAATGACCTCTGTTGCTTAGCCCTACATTCTCCATGACCTGAAGAGGATTATATCTGATACTAGGCAGTATTGTGTTTGAGAAAGTGTTGATCTTAGAGTTAAATTTTTATAATCGATGTCAACATATCTGTTTTTAGCAAATTGTTATATAGTGTGTGCCTGGGAAGGAACAGAAACATAACATTAAAAAATGAGTCTGTTTGTGCCTGGGAGAAATGATGAAAAAGGAACTAAAGATCAGATATTCTGTGTAGTAATTAGCCCCAGTAATCCTACCCCAATACAACCATTGGCCCTGATGTTTGCTTTCCCTGCTACAAGTGCAGAGCATTTGTACTAGAAAGAAGAGGCACAGGGATGTGGAGGAAGAGCTTTTTTTCTTATAAGCTGCTATTGTTACATGGTGCCAAAAGCCATGGAGAAGATAATGGGGGCAAGAGTCTAAGATTGACAGGAGTCTGTGTTGTATATCACCAGACTGAACATATGAAGCCAATTCAACATGAAGCTAATGATGTGAAAATGATGCATTCTTGTACAAATCACTTAGGCATGTCATATATATTAACATTTCATTAGTCCCCACTGGCTTCTCTGGGGGTTATTTGTACCCTAACAGTTACAAGGTATGAGGATATGGAACAAATATCATCACTTCAGTTGGTATTTTGAGGGCATCCATCATCTATCTGATATGTAGTATCAGAATCCAGGGATGTCTACGAAGTCTAAAGATAGGTATTGTGATTGCAATGTGGAGGAAGGTACATAGGCCCAGGCAATGCTTTTAATATTCAAAATGTCGAAAACAGAAAGACGTGAAAACGTCATGGATTCAAAGTATTAAGAAACCTGATTGATACAATTTAAATTCTTACAATTTTCTTTACACTGATTTTTGACTCAAAATGCATAAAGGGAGGTTACACACTTCATTTAAATTGATACAAATTCCTTACCTTGGATGCTCAGAAGCCTAACTGCCTAACCACTCCAGCTTCCCTTGGGGCTTCTTAATGATTGAGGATGTTGCATTACAAATGAGGAAGACAGATGTAGTATTTTTCCAGTAGTTTTCAGTGAGATTAAGCTTTGCTAAATTAGCAAAGTATGTTAAGTATCCTTCCAATATCAGGTGTCAGTGCTATTTTATTCCTTTCTCTGATCTACAGATGTGCTCTGAAGATGGCCATGGGAGCAGCCAGGCAGTTAACAAACTTTAGGTAGTGAGCTATGAAGCAAGAAAATGGCTTTGCTGTTCTCACACTTGAGAATTAGTAGAAATAACTTCCAGTTGACAGGTTACATGGATGGAGCCCCTCCAACCTCATGTAGGTTTTCAAACTGTTCTTGGGTCCTGGTGCTCGTGTTTCTTTTGTCTGGCTGCCATCCAGAAGCAGAAACCAAATCTTCATGAAGCAAGTAGAAATTCAAAAAGATGTTCAAAAGTTTCTGCTGTTTTCCATCTAAATGTCCCCAAGGGCTAGAGTAAACCAAGGCCTTGTCTAGGAATAAACTGCTTTGTCTTCTGATTCCATGGCCTCCTCTCTGCTTTATCCCATCTGTATCTTCAGAGGGACTCATATCCCAACTGAAATGGAAATGTTGGTCTAGAAAATAATGAATTAATGAATTCTCTTGGGTGTGTTTCTTGGCTTGCTTCTCCTGGAGTCTTCTATCAGTAATGAGCTACAAGGTCCTAAGTTTCTCTCTTCTTTGTGTACAATGTCCAACTTCCTTGTATTTCCAAATTCTGGGCTTATATGTACACAACACTGACACACAGCCCAAGTAGCCTACATTTCTGTTGAACACTAAATGAAATACTAACAACTGAGTAGCTCAGGCTCCTAGAATATCTGGCCCTGTGCCCCTGACCGTAAGGTGGGTTTTCTAGGTTTTGTGAGATGCTGCTTCCCTGTGTATTTATAGCCCCTGTAGCCCACACTATTCCCTCTTTCCTAGAGCTTCTCCATATATAGTCTATACATGGGAGTACTGCACTCCACTGACTTTTGGAAACCCTGGACAGTTTCTGTATGTACTCAAGTCTTGATATTGTAGATGATGGTTGAAGAAAGAGATCAATTTTCCCTGGATTAGACAAGAAATAATAATAAAAAAACACACAATACCAGAGTTGTAGGGGATCTACATTAATTAAAATATTTAAGTACTCCCAGCTATCAAAGACAGATTACTAAATATATACATATAGTTTCATGACAGTAATGGGATAAGGAAGAAATGTCTTACTTAAAAGGCTGAGGAAGGGCTGGAGAGATGGCTTAGAGGTTAAGAGGACTGGCTGCTCTTCCAAAGGTCCTGAGTTCAATTCCCAGCAACCACATGGTGGCTCACAGCCATCTATCATGAGATCTGGTGCCCTCTTCTGGCCTGCAGGGATACGTGCAGACAGAACACTGTATGCATAATAAATAAATAAACAAATAAATAAATCTTTGCCGGGCGGTGGTGGCGCACGCCTTTAATCCCAGCACTCGGGAGGCAGAGGCCGGCGGATCTCTGTGAGTTCGAGGCCAGCCTGGGCTACCAAGTGAGTTCCAGGAAAGGCGCAAAGCTACACAGAGAAACCCTGTCTCGAAAAACCAAAAAAAAAAAAAAAAAAAAAAAAAAAAAAAAAGGCTGAGGAAGCCGGGCGGTGGTGGCGCACGCCTTTAATCCCCAGCACTCGGGAGGCAGAGCCAGGCGGATCTCTGTGAGTTCGAGGCCAGCCTGGACTACCAAGTGAGTTCCAGGAAAGGCACAAAGCTACACAGAGAAACCCTGTCTCGAAAAACCAAAAAAAAAAAAAAAAAAAAAAAAAAAGGCTGAGGAAACAAAACTATACAGTTATACTATCTGTGCAAAGCTGAACTGTCATCAATGAATAATGACAAGTGAAAAGGAAAAAAGGTTTACCTCTAAACACTCCCAATAAAACAAATTCAGCAAGGAAAAATGATGCCTAACAGATACATAATACATGAGAAATCATGATAAGCTAAAAACCAAAACAAACAAACAAAAAACAGACAAAAATCCACATACTTTTGAACACATAATTTTTTTATAAAGAAGCCAGAAATACACAAAATAAAAAAGAAATCATCTTCAACAAATGGTTAACTTCTTCTGAGAACAGGGGGGTCTGGTGTGAGCATTTCATACTTGATTCTTAAGGATCATTCACCTTGGATTTCAAAAGTACTAGGGACAGGAAAACTTAAGCCTGTGTTAGAAAATAACTGTGAAGAAAGGATGGCTGCAGCTAAAATTTAGAACTTATCTAGAACTATAAATATAGAGAGTGAAAACTTTGCTCAAATATTGTCAGCCAGAGAGTTGCTGAGTAAACTGATTGCACCTGATAGTCATTGCATGTGACCTACATGTAAGCCTGTCTTAATTTGGCTTTTAAAGCTGTGATAAAACAACAATAACAACAACAACAAAACCACACACACACAAAAAAAACCATGACCAAAGCAATTTCTGAAAGAAAGCGCTTATTTGGGGCTAAAGATTTTAGAGGGTGAGAGTCCATGGCTATTAAAGTAGGGGGCATGACAGCAGAGAAAATCCAAAATGAAAGCTCACATCTAGAGACAAAATCATAGAAAAAGGAAGAAAGAGAAAGATGTACAGAGACAGAGATAGACAGAGACAGACAATGGTGAAAGTCATTTGAAACTCCAAAACATGCCCTAGTGACGCACCTCCTCCAACAATGCCACACCTCTTAATCCTTCCCAAAGCTGTCCTACCAACTAGAGAACAAGCATTCAAACATATGTCTATCAAGGCCATTTTCTTTCAAACCAACATGGGGTCCTTCCTCCCAGATGACCCTGGCTTATATCAAATAGACAAAAACAAACAAACAAAAAACCCACCAATCAGCATATGAGGAATAAAGGTGCAACATCATCCATCCACCAAGCATAATACAAACATCTCCCTTTTCTGATAGGTTTATATCAAGTGTTGCCCTGTTCTCCCAAACCTTTTGGCTGGTGGTGTCCAGCTGGCTAAATATTTCCTTTAGGGACACATCTTAATTTTTACATTCTTGGTCACTGGTGACCACCAGAATATAGTCAATTCGCATCTTGAAGCTATTTGGTTTCTAGCTTTAAATTGTTTGTACTCCCTTAATGCCTATAGAATCAATGTTGACATCATAAGACCAAGATACTGACTTTGTAACTCTGGTATTAGCTTTGCTAAGAGGAGGAGAATTGAAGGCCAGGGTAAAGGGTAAGGCCAACCAATTGAGCCAGTATGTAGATTCCACTTGGGCAGAAGGCTTGAGTAAATGTTTCCCTGTCCGTGGT